CAACCCCCTCCGAAAGCCGTCGCAGCGCTAGGCAGGCCTGCAGCCGGATGTGGTGATGTACAACTCGGCCGTGGCCTCACTCTTCGATTCTGTGCAAGTGCTTGGGGAGACAGACGAGTGAAGTGTGCAAATGTTTACCAGTTTTTCAGTGTCCCTAAGCTGGAGCAGAGCTCCAACAGCCCGAGCCTGAAACGAGGTCATCAATGGCCACGCGAAAGAGGGCAAGCAGGATGATGCGGAGTGCTGGCTCACAAGCATGCTCCGCCGTCGGCGCTCTGCTTGGATTTTGCTGACTATGTCCATGTCATTCAAGGGTAAAAGCCTTTTCTGACAATCATGCAAAATCTTACATGCAGACTCTGTAGAGGACTGCAGCCGTCACTGCACACTGCCAAGTGTAGTGTCAGAGCACAGGCCGTAGTCACAAGACAATGATATTCGGTCGGTCATTGAATGCGTCTTTTGGGGAAGCTTTTGCACAGGGGTTGCGGGCGCGAGGCTCAAGGTGTCCATGCGATGATGCAGCACACCGGTAAATGTTCTGTGCCCGTAAATGGCAACGGTGTTGTGACAAAAGCTCCCTCGCAGGATTTCAGGGTTCGCGAGCAAAGCTGTCATCTAGGATGGCTCCGGATCGCGTGACCTTCAATACGGCCCAGCCCTCGGAAAGAAGCCATCTCATGATCTACAGTTTACAGGCTTGGTGTCTCTTGCTTAAATTGAAGCAGTCAAGGCTTCTAGCGCAGCGCTCCTCGGTTTTAGGTTTTCTGGAAGCTCTTCATCGTTGCCATTGCAAAGCCCCGGCACGGGTTAAGTATCCCAACGCTAACATCCATCCCTTGTATATCCTTGTCGGGTGGCAAGAGGTTTTAGGCGCTGCGGGACACAGACTTGAACCACACTCTTAACCCGAAGCCCCCTAACCTCAATCCTAAGGCCCCGAACCCTTCAGCAGAAGCACTTTGGGCTGGGGTTGAAACTTTAGCAGGCGAGCTAGTGGAGTCGTATACCCCGCTCTATGTCGTTCCCCCAGAAAACTGGACCCTGAATCCTATAAGCCCAAACCCCTGGGGGTCCAAAAGCCTGGTCTGAAACGACAGCTGACATGGCCAGAGAAGGAAGTGGAGTGAGGTCTGTCTCTGTCTCTCGGTGTCAGGGGGGCCAGTTTCTTGAGAGTTTAGAGGGCTCTCTTGGTGATGTCTCGGGTTCTTACACGATCACCGACACACCTTTTCCTGGAAATCGGAAGGTCCTGGATGCCGCAGCACGGTCTGGCCGGGGCGACGCCAGCGTCGAGTTGTGCACAAGGGTGCTGGGGAGCACTCCGGTTTGCATGTGGCCATGGGCAAAAGCCTTCCGACTTCAGACCATCCTGCCTCCACAACCCCCTGAAGAGAGGGTTCATGTCCCTAAAAACACAGTCATGTGTGATGCTTGCTCTGCTTCTATTAGATTCCCGGAACATCTTCCGGCAACAGCATCGGTCGCACTCATGTGGCTCTTGCGAATCACTTTGTGAACAGAGCCGGCTCGTGATGAACCTTCACGTGTGTTGCCGTCAAGAACAGGGAGATCTTTTGGCACCGGAGAAGAAGCAGGTAGAACCAAATTGAGCGAGTGCTTCGCATTAAAGTTGAAGTGGAACGTCTGTTGTCCGCTTCCTTGCACTGTTCATGGTGACGACAGGTGGTCATCCGAATTGTTCTTCTGGAGATGTCGCAGTGTCTTGCTTGTCTGATGCAACTGTCTTGTCGTCCCAAATTTTAGCACACTCGGCCTCCCTAGTGCATAAGGCATGGCAAGCTTGAAGACGACGCCTAACATGATCAGCTACAACTCCGCCATACGGGCCTGTGCTGCTTGGCCAGGCCCTGGTGCTGGCGAGTTGGGTTTCAAAGGTTTGCGGGTTCGATGGCTCTACGGACTCCACAGGCCTATAGGGTCTCAGGCGACCCCACCACATGCTCTCCACCCGGACCCCAACAGGAGCGTGATTAGGAAAAGAGCGTGCCAGGCGGCTGTACGTACAGTCTCACAACCCCGGCCTGCTGAGAATTCTATATACTGCTGCACTACATTTCACTGCCGCATTCTTGAGGTGCGCATAGACGCATTTTAAGAGTCCTGTGGTCGTCCACAAATCTCTCCATCACGTCGACCAATGTGCCCAAAATCTCGCATTCGCCTCTGCCACAAGACAAAAAAATCTATCGCCCCCAAAAAGACTGGAATGGGCCCAACCTGCACCTATTATATTCCCAACCATATGGACGCAGCTCACAACCCTACCCGACAAACCCGCAACAAAGTCTTCGTGCAATCAGGTCCACGCCTCGGCAACGGAGCGCGCTGCGAGCTTTGTCGCTGCCCTCCGCAGCGACGAGCTGCGCCCGGACGACGCTGCCCGGACTGTGTGTTGGTCGATGGGAGCTTGTGCCACTGCGCGTTGTAGAGACTTAGGCTGTGCAGTGTTAGAGCTGGGGCGCATAGGATGAAGAAGGAAGACTCTTCAGCATAATATCGCCTCTTTGGAGTCTTCTTTTGTTTGCAGCTGAGACGTATAGCTATCTGTTTTTCGCCGGGGGGAAGGGAACACAAGGACAAACGAAGCACCCACCAGACGGGAGCCTCAAGCGCTGGCCCCCAAATGCAGATTCCTCACGGCCTCACACATGTCTAAGAACTCCTGTGTGACACCCCACATAAAATTTGCTACAGGCTCAGCAGGATGCATTTCGTAACCCCCCACAGAAGGGACCCTCCGCATCGCAGCTTGGTGCTTGTCACACTGAGAGCTGTGCCCTAGACATTTCAAAATCCTTTCTCGAGTCTTGGTCCCGCAAATGCCTTGAGCTCGGTATAGCTCCTACAACTTGATTCATGGGCCTGGCCAGCCCAGGCGACCTTCACAACACTGCTTCAGGCCGCCGGTTGCAAGACATGCCCCTCCCCCGACCCCGCCCCGCCCCAGATGGGGTTAGGGCTTGTGGTTTGCGTTCATCGGGCTTAGGGTTCAAAGAGGGTTGAGATTCAGGGCTTGTAGGGTTTAGGAACAGCTCAGATGCCCAAAGAAGCTGGAGTTCTGTTTTCGCACAGCATGAAATCGGTCGATGTTGTCGGTGCTCCTTAACTGCAAAGCCCGAGTATGCGACAGCTGCATGCTTGTGTGTTTTTGTTGTGTGACGACGAGCCCAAATTCCCTTTGAGGCTCCCTTTCTTCTTGTGTGCTTGCACCCTCAGCCGCATCCACTAGACACCCTCGACTCCAAACCTCTCAAGGCTTTGTTTTGAAAATTCTGGTTGGTCGTCTCAGCATACGATGTGCCATGTGGGGATGGGTCGTGAAAGCCCGGTTGCTCTCAGCTCTAACTCGTCGAGGCTGCCAAAAATGATGCAGACGCTTGGCGGAGGGGACTTGGGTAGCTTCAGGATTGAGGGGTTCAAAGGAGCACCCCATGCCAGATAGCACCCCGACAGCAAAAAAGTGCGTTCGGGATTGCAAAGAGATCCGGGTTTCCAGCTCCGGTGTGTTTGGCGTGGCATGTGGGGTTTCGAAGTTTTAGATTTCTTGACCCCCAAAAAACCCCAAGCTCCGAAACCCCAATGCCAATAATTCTCCGCTTCCCGGAAGCCTCCCACCCTAAACCCTAAACCCTAAACCAAACCCTAAGCCCTAAACCCTAAACCCTAAACCTCTGCCCCCACTGCCCGGCCCCTCCTGCGCAGCCTAAGGAGAGAGCTGAGGCCTGGTTTGTATCTTGGCTGAGCCTACTGTTTCATAGTAGGGAATGAGGGAATGAGGTGCCCTGTACGATCCCTTACAGGGTACAGATAGGGGGAGAAAAGGTGCCCAGTTCCCTACTAAGAACCAAGGGGGTGAGATGTAATCGTTATGGCGGGTTTTCGTGTTTGTGGCAGGGCTTTTTGCCGTTTTTCGGCTATTGGGGTCCCTGCACAACAGCGAGGGGAAGCCCCTAACATTTTGTCCATGTGGGGAGCCGTGCAGCACGCGAGCCTCCCTGCGACATAGATCGGCAGAGAGGATTTTAGCAATAATCGGGTACTATAGGTATGCAAGGGTATGCCTCCCCAGAAGATGAATGTTAGGTATGTCTGCATGTATGTAATCCAACTAGCTAACTAGTTATGTATGTATGTCTGTATGTATGTGTGTATGTATGCATGCGTATAGTTCTATTTCTGTTTGCTTCTGTATCTGCGCACATGATTTGCGCTTGTCTGTCTGTTGCATCCTGTGGCTGTTCACGGGGTTACCAAGACTCTTGTGTAGTCTTTCAAGGAGTGGCTTCTGGCCGCTGGGGGAGCCCCCGGCCCCGGGGCCTTCGCAGCCTGGTCAGCAAATGCAGCGTCCGTCGGGGACGTGGCACGGGCCGAGGCTAGCCGGACGAGGCGCCCCGGGCTCAGGGTTTCTGCCGGACTAGTCCCCCCCTGTTGCAAAATGGTTTCATGTGGTGTTTCATGGTTCAAGGGACCTGGTTGTTTTTTCATTAAGTCAGGGCGTGGTCTTACGCTCTTAGGTTAAGGGTCGATGTCCTGATTCCTGATGCTGGTCTTGTCGAGCCGAGTTCGGTCTTGTGTTGTCTCGTGCCCTGTGACAGGTTGTCAGGCAGCGAGTCAACAGTGCGTTTGACGTTCTGTACTTCTGAGAACAGGTTTCTGTTCGGAGTTTGCAGGGTTGAGTCAAGCGCTGATCCGTCGTCACTGTTCCGGTAGTGCTGGGTGGCTTCTGTGCTTGGTGCGGATTTGTCGGTGTGCCTGGCGCCTTCTCTAATCTCTGCCGTAGGCTCAAAGGAAATGCCACAGGAGCCTCAGATGAAAGCTTCTCTTTCAAGACCGACCCCCACAACGCCACTCCCTGTGCAACGACACGCTTGCCGCTTCAACTTGCCAAACCTCTGTTTTGGAATCCAAAATCTAGCCCCCTCCCCGCAACAAAACGAATACCGAACTAAATCCACAAACTCCGCGCTGGTTGGCCCATGGGCACTTCATTGGCGCGCCCGAACGTGCAAACTTCCCTTGAGTCCCTGGAGCTCTCGCCGGAGCTCCGAGGTGCCATATTGGGGGTTTTGGGGGGGGGGGGGGGGGGGGTCTCTTTAGAGGAATCATATTCTGTTTGGGGCATAAAAGGGGCACCCCTTATTTTTTGGAAATGCCCATGCCTGGGGGGGGGGTTGCGGTTTTAGGGTTTATCTGAAGGGTTTGTAGGTCTCCCGGCCCCTTGCAAAGGCTGAGGTCTCTTTTGGGGGGGATTGGTCGGGCTTATAGGGGATGTTCCCCCTTATTCTATAAGAGTCCTTAAGAAGCCTTAATAGAGATCTAATCCCACCTGAAGGACTTAGTAGAAGGGGGAACATCTCAATTTTTAGGCCTTGAGGGTCGAAGGGTTTGAGTTTGGAATCTATCCCGCCGTTCCTGGACAAAGCTTGGGATGTTCCCCCTTGTACGAATAGCCCTTAATGTGGAATTATAGTACGTACCCCCCCTATGAGAGTCCCTGTGAAGGACGGTAGTATAAGGGGGCACATCCCACACAGGTTAGCAAGTTGCAGTCGAAGGACACATGGCTTGACCTTAAGCCCCCCAAGCTCCCCTGTCTTTTCAGTGTAAGCCATCGCCAAAGAGCCCCACATGAATCCTTCAAAACTTCGGGAGTCATCCGAGGGTCATCCGAGACCCTAAAGAAAGCTTCCCCCATTAAGAAGAAGTGGAAGATCCTCAGCCCGAAATCCTCAGCGCATCTCGAAGGCCACTCCCCCCACGAGCTGCTGGCCGTCGCGAGGGCACTGAAGCCAGAGCCGGGGAACCGCACAAGGCCATACGAGCCCTTCGTGGTGTGATGGCTTTCAACGGCTTAGGGATGTTTCGAGGGCTTATGAAGAGTTGAGGCTTTGGGGTCTCGGGGAGGTAGGGGGGGGGGGGCAAGGGGGGCATCAAGCCTCGGATAGCCTCGGCCTAAGTCCGCCCCCAGAATTGAGAGTCCTGTCCTGGGAGGTTTTGGCAGCTGTGTCTTGGTGTTGCGTCTCGACTGCACTGATGTGATTTGTATGTTGGGGTTTCCAGGGAGAGTAAGGGATTCTGCGAATCCATTGAAATTTGGGGCCCTGGGAAGCCCTATGCTCTTGCTGGGCTCTTGCTGGGCTCTTGCCCAGGAGCCGTTGAAGGAGGAGGAGCCCTGCGATGTGCTTGCCTGGCTGCTCCAACTTCCCAGCCCGGATGCGGACAACTCGGACGAGTGCATCCGTCTGGACGACGGGTCGGGACAAGAAAGGGAGAGGAACAATTTGATGTTCTGGTGCACGTGGATCGTGTAGGACGGCTCAGTCATGACGCGCTTCTGCATGTTCACAGTCCACAACAGGGAGTTGCTCATGGATGCAGCCAGTGTTTCTAAGCAGCTTCAACTCTATCGCGACCCAATAGAAGCTGATGCTTCCCGCATCTTCCCACCACCTCACACAAGTCGGGTCCGGCGCTGGAGCAGGATGTTCCGCGAACCCCCGTCCCAGAGCACATGCAGAGCTCGGACGACTTCCAGCACAATTTGCATGCGGTGCTCCTGGCCTACGCTCGCCGGAATCCTGCGATAGGCCAGGCATTGCCAGGGAATGGTCTAAGTGGCTCGGGAACGAAAATCGTTTTGAGAGAATGCCATCTTGGTTTTCTGCTGCAGGATTCTGGGCAGTTTTGAAGCCTTAGCACAGTGGTTTGTGTAGCTTTGGCAGGCTACAAGTCCGGCATGAGCTTCATTGCGGGCGCACTGCTTGGCGAGATGGACAGGGAAGATGCCTTCTGGTGCTTTTGCGCTATTATCGCCACTCGGGCTGCACACAGCGACCTTTGGTTGCCGCAAAAAGTCCCACAACAACTCGAAGCCACCTGTCCCCTCCTGCAGGAGAGGATGTTACCTCCGGGCATATTCGAGGACGGCAGCCGCGCTCGATTTGAAGAGGTCGGTTCGTCAGTTAAATCTCCGGCTCTGGTGCACAAGTCATTCTGGCTTCTGCCAGTGGGGGACGTGGTGGTGGTGGCGGTGGTCGTGGTGGTGGGTTGAAGGTACCGGTGACCTTGGGACAATGGTATGCAAGTTGCCGACCCGCGTCCATGTCCACAAAATTTCTATAGACCCAACTGTACCTTGACTAGGCTTGTGGTCGTCAGACATTGCGTGAGACATTGCGTCAGGCCACTGTCTTTCCCGAGCTGCTTCGCAAGACCCGTCCGAAGCTACATGCACACCTCGAGCGCGAGAGCCTTGGACACTTAGTTGGTGGTGCTTCGCTGATTCTGTTCACACGCGCCCATCTGATGAAGGTGTGGGGCTGTGGGGCTCATGGGTTCAGGGGAACAGGGATTTTGAGGCATGCGCTTCGGGTGCGAACCCCAGAACCTCTCCATCAGATCCCCGACGCCTAAGCACCCTACATGTCACAGCTTTTCCTCGAGTTCGTGGGGTAAGCCTTTCGAAGACTTCGCGCTCGTGCTTAAGGGGTTTTTAGGCACTCACTCCCTTGATGCCTCGGATGTTGGATCCATGTCCAGCTGCATAGCTTAATTCCTTCAACTTGCGAAGCCAGAACTCCCATAAACCGTATAACCCTATCAACCCTACAAAGACTCTAAGCACTATAAATTCTGAAAGCCCTCTAATGAACCGCTATGAACCCCTTAAACCCCCACAAACTCCACAAGGCAAACAGGCTCACGCTCGCTTTGATGCGGGATTGGAGGATCCCCCCCCCCTCTCAAAGCTGGGGAGAGATTTACACTTCATTCGGTTCCTGGTCCTTCTTGCAGCTTTTTTGGCCGCCTCCGGCTTCGTCCGAATTCCTTCGCTCGCCTTGCTCCTTCGCTCGCCTCCCGCCTTGGTGCTTCAACGTCTGGCAAGTGCAAGGTCAATGCTTATCGGTCGAAGAATCCTGAAGCGGGATGGACTGGGGGCAAAGGCAAGTGTAGGTGCGCAACGTGCTCCCCAGCAACTGGTCCATCTTAGTCGTCACAGGCTTCCGGTACCTCTGCAGCATCGCCGCCCCAGACCCCATGCAAGGACCAACAGCCCGGGGCACGCAGCTCCAGGTGAGGCTGCCTTGGGTCTGCTAGCATGGAGCTCTCCGCTTGAGATTAGGCAAACAGTTTGCAGGAAAATGCAGCTGCCGTCACGCGGCTGCCTCAGACGGCCCGCAAAAGTTTTACGCGGTGTTCGCCAAGCTTGAGAAGCACAAGCCCCTTGAAGCCCCTGAAGGCCCTCCAAAAATGAGTTTATGAAGAAAGAGCCTCATAGTTCTCGAAGGGTGCTTGAACCCCTTCTCAAGCTCCCTGGAGCCCTCCCTCCTTCAATGACGTGAACTAATTCAAGCAGCTTGTCAAGGACAGCCTCGTAATCCGTCAGGCTCCGGGCCATGGCATCTCGAGAACGAGACGCACTGCGAGCAATCCTAACAACAAGAGTATCGCATTTTGTGGGTCATTGCATCCTGGCTCAGGATGGCGTATTGGCATGGCTTTCTGCACTCCTGGATCTACACCCTCTTCACATACCTCAAAGCAGGGCGAGTTCGTGGTAGAGTTCGATAGAAGTTTGTTCTTATGAAAGAAAAGGGGTTCTGGAGTTGAGCATTCTCCTAAAGATTGGAGGCCCTCAGTTGAACGGGACTCCAGCAGACGAGAGGAGGATCTGGGTTTGTGGATTGACGAACTTGAAACACTTCCACACCCACCTTGCAGAACTTGAGAAAGCTGGAAGCCAATTACATTCGAACCGCCCATGCTGATCCACTGTTGGCGTTGGGAGTCAGCCACGTATCAGAAGAACCTGTATGCTCCAGGTGCCCTACGTGGTGCAGTTGCGTTGCTTCCTTCGCAATTATGGGGGAAGCTGTCACCACCAATCCTGAACTCTAAATGCCCGAAGCAAATAAAACAAAAGTGTATACGTACCAAGTTAAAATGCTTTGGCCGGGCTAAGCCTTGAACCTCTCGAAGGCTCAGGCAAAAGGATGGTTTGGGAGGGTTTAGGTGAATGCTTCGTCTGCAAGGGTTGCGGGCCTGCGACGGCGATTGGTGCACGTTAAATCGACTCCGCTCCGTTGCACCCTTGTTCCGCGCTTCCGTTCTAGGCGCAGGACATCCTAGCGGACTAGCGCAAGCAATTTGTCTTTAACCCGGGTTTGGGTACTGAGTTTCGGTCAGCGCTGGGCGAGTGCTTACTTAGCGGATGCAGCTGTGCAGGAGAGAGACGTTGTCAAGTGCTTCGTGGGTGTCAAAGAAGACCTGGACTTAAACTTTAAAGCAGCCGAGGTTTGTGGGATGGTTTGTTCCTGCGTGGTTTCGACGGCCTGCATCAGGCAGGGTCCTGCGCCTCTAGAGGCTTTTTGGTTGGGGGGGGGGGAGCCGGGGGGGTTGCTAAGAAGCTGTCGCGTCTGGAAGCTAGGGTAGGGTTCAGGTGCTGAGTTTCGGCTTATCGGGCTTCCCAGGTCAGTTGTTTCCAGCAAGCCCCTTAGACCCCCCAGAGACCCCAGCCCGAAACCCTCAGCCCCCCTAGACCACAAGAGGAAGAACTGCACCCACAAAGCACAAAATCTTGAAGTACTCTGTGTGAGGTGGGCCTGGCCATCTTCCAGCAGCTTGAGCCCATCCTTCTCGCCTGCCGAGGTCTCGAGGAGGCTTTGGGTTTTTTTTTCAGCCTTCTACTGTAGGGATTCTATAAACCCACGAATCTTTTTAACCATAATAGCCGTGATTTCCCCCATAACAGAACTGATCCCTAAAGCGCATCCGCACTTTGCAGTGTGCATAGGCATCACACGTGGGCCGCGATCACTTGCCCATAGATTGGACCAAAGGCGCCCTCGGCTGCATTATCCGCTGGAGGCTAGGGAAAAGGTTTGCAAGGTTTTATGTAGGGGTCGGAATAGCTACTACTAGTATTCCCTTATGCAGGGCTGCTTGGGTTTGCCACAGGCTCTCAAACAACTAATACAGTCTCTTTCGCCGAAGCTTGAGCGCCCGCGCGCATGGATTCGGTTGCCGAGTCGATTTCCTCGACTTGCGCACGGGTGTGGACAACAAGTTTATCGAGGAGTGCCGGCGATCAGGCGAGCTTCTGTGCCAGGGGTGGCGGGGGCGGGGAGGACTCTGCTGAAATGAGCCTTTCTGCCCTCCCAGCTAGAAGCTGATGTCCAGGATTGCTCGAACAGCAACAGCGAGCTCCCATACGTCGCTACGTCCTGGAGTGGAGCATCCACTCCCATCATCGGTTTCTCGGCTTGAGCTTAGACCAGCAATCCCCAGTCCGTATGAGGATGCAAGTGAATCGGAGGATAGGACTTCAACAAGACTCCGCCGTGCTTCTTGTTGGCTGAGGTTCCGACCGAAGCGCAAGCGGTCCGTGCTGGCGGTGCTCATGCTTCAGCGAAGGTGTGGCTCTTTGTTTAACAGGCTCTCCAAAGCGCTGTGGCTGAACAAGATCCTGCCGCTGACGTAGCCTTCACCTTCCCGGTGTACAGAGGCAAACTTCTTGTTGTTTCCCCATTCCCCCTTGCCTTCAACCCGCTCATTGCATGTGCCGCCGATGCATGGACAGATGTACAGCCGCAGTGGCGCGTGTGGGAGAAAAAGACCGTGCGTTGAGGGCAGTCTGCACGGTCCGTCAGCCCCGGAGGTTCTTTTCAGTTGATTATGTCAAGAAGCAGTTTAAACGAAATTGTCCTCGGCACTCCTCCTCCTCGAATGTTTGATGAACATGAGTGAATTAGGCTTTGTCTTACTTTGTATATGCATCGCTGACTTCGTTTTGCTTGTGCATGAAGCACGAGTGGTCTCACGCAATCAGCATGCTGGGTTCCACTTCCCACTTTTCCGACCTTCAGCCCAAACCTCCTCACAGCCCCTTGAGGTGCTGGGAGTTCTGTGGTCCAGAAGGCTCTCAGCTTCTTTTGGGGCTTTTCTAGGCGGACAGGTTGTGTTTTCGGAGGCGGGAGCACGCTTCCAGCTTTGCTGGCCTTGCTCAGGGCTTGACTGGTCAGGGAAGGTGTTCCCAGGACTCTGGCATGGTTGGACAATGAGGTGTGACCCTGTTTGCCGTGTCGGCGCAGGTGTCTCCAAAGGAGAAGACGAAGCCCTGCTGCGTCAGGCCATACTCTGTGCGGGTGCAGCAATTGCGTTGCCGAAAAGTGGAAGTCAAACCCGGGCTCCACACCAAGCCTGGCATGCCTGCTTTGTTAGCCGCTCTGACCTCCAGAAAGAAGGTTTAGGGTTTACAGGGTTTATAGGGTTTACAGGAGTCCCACAAATCTTGTCCGAGTCCGGGTTCGAAAAGGAATTAAGGCTTCGTCCGGGTGCTCAGAGCCCCTCAGCGCCCAGCACCTCCAAAAAGCCACCTCAGATCCTGCGCGCCTGTGGGCGGTCCAGCAATGCGGAGCGAGCAGGCGCGTGAGCTGAGACAAGAGGTAGCCCGAAGTCCTTTTGGTTTCTATAGGTTGGGATGTTCCCGCTCATATTAACAGTCCTTAATAATGGGGATTAACGTACCCTACAACAATTCCTATGAAGGACTGCTAGCATAAGGGGGAACATCCCAACCTAGAGGCCCTGAACTGAACCCCTGAGGGGAGATGTAGGGTTTAGGGATCTCCGGATCCACGTGTGTCCTGCGAGGTCCCCTCTAAAGCAGGTTGGAGAAGGGTTTAAGGTTGCGAGCTTTGTGTCGGTTGGCGGCAGAGAGCTGCTGCAGCTTACTTGCTTGCAGTTGTGAGGAATTCTTGCAGGGAAGGGACATCGCAAAGCAAAGGAACTGACTTTCAGAATCGCTTCTCTGGGCCATGAGGCCCCCTGTAGCAGGTCAGTGGGCTCAGTGGATGATCTCACATGAGCTAGATCCAGGACGACAAGGACTCGGAAACATTCGGGGCGACTTATGGCATGCAGGGGCTGCGGGTTCGGTGTCCAGCTCAGACGTGTGGTGTTCGGTGTCCGGTGTCCGTTGCGTTGAGGGGTTTTGCATGGTGTACGTGGAGGTTGGAGGATCATGAGGTTCCAACGCTTGACAACCACCTCTCCCAAGGGCCCCAGGGAGATTCTAGCATCCCAAATGCTTGAGCAGAGGTTGTTCTGTGGAACTTGTTTAGGATCCCTTCTCAGATGCGTTCTTTTCTGGCCGCATACATACATGACACATGTTTCTGGCGCCCGAAAATTGCAAATGGGGCCTGGCCACATGAGCCACATGAGAGGATACACCTCTGTGATTGCGGCGCTCCTTGGCTGCGCGAAGCGGAATGAACGATCGCAGAAGGATTCGTGTCTGAATTTTCCCGGCCTCTAGGGTTTAGGGTTAGGGTCTAGGGTTTAGAGATGCAGCAGGTATCGAGTGGACCGCAAAAGCCTGTGAGGGAGTTGCTGGCGTCGTTGAAGAAGCCCATGCCACAAACCAAGCTCGCATGGAGCGAATTAACCTGGTAACTTTCGGCACCCTGAGACACATCTCTAGTCTTTATATATCGGCGTCCTTTGCGTTGCATACCTGCGGGGGCATGTTGGGGTGGTTTGTAGTTGGCTGCGGCGATGCTGGACCTGGAGACACCCTGCAACCGTTCTTCTAATCATTACACGACTCGGACAGAGGCGAGGGTGTCCTGATGTGGACGCTAAGTGTCTCACGGTCTCTTTGCACAGATGTTGCTTGAGTTAGCATGGGTTGAGGACTTCCTGGCACGGGCTCGCCAGGATTTACTTAGGTGTCAGTGTAGCCTGTAGTGTAGGGTTTGGATGCCCATGAGCCACAGCCACAAGACGAGCAAGGCACGGGCAGGCGCACGACCCAGACGGAGCGAAGGTCTGGTTTAAGCAGATGCAGAGCGCCCGATTGAAGGCAGGGGGTGCAGCACCATTGGCAGGGGTATCGGGATACAGCACGGGGTATCAGATGGCCGTTCGCTCCTCTCTCATGGGTTATTGGGTTTGTGGCTTCAAGGTTCCCAGCAGGGAGGGCTAGATGGTTCAGAGGGATGTTCAGAGGGTTTGAAGCGATTTTTGGGCCCACCAGGCTGACCTCCTGTCCTGGCGCCAGAGCTGCAGGGGGTTGTGGTGCGGGGTTGGGAGCTTGGGGTTATTTAGGGTGTTTATCCGGGTCCGCCAGGGTTCAGGGCAAAGGTGTCTCGACATGGGGAACCTTTCTCGTTCAACGTTGTGAAATGACAGCAGGGCGAGTGCGAGACATTGATGACATCAGACCATGCGAATTTCAATCGGAGGGTATGGGAAATAGTAACTATACATAGTCATGACGGGTTAGCAAGCGAACGCTTCAGGTAGGCTCCAGAGACGCGTCGCTGAGCCTGAAAGCCCTGAAAGCCCGAATCGAATGTCCTGAAAGCTCTAGAATCCGTGAACTCGTCGAAAACCCTATGCCTCATCAGCGCAGAGCCCAATTACAACTCTCAAGCTCCAAGTACTCTAATCCTCGCATAAGGAGCGCGCTTGTGTCTGCGCTGGCCCGATCTGACCGGGCACCTGGGCGTCAGTTGGACGTTGCGTTTGTTTGTATTTCTTGGTTTTGGTTTGGGGGGAGTTCAGCGTGAATTCCGGATGTCTGATGCTGCAAGCTGCTGGGTTGTGGCCAAACATCGCAACTCTTGTGGGGGACCGCTGTCATGGAGACCTCTCTATTGCAAGCCTGCACGTTCGGCATTGACACCGTTGCGCTGGTGCTCCGCGGTCCAGGCTGATGAAGCGCGACAAGCCTTGACGAGCATGCAGGTGGGGACTCCATTTTCGGGTTGGAGAGCTCGGCCTAGGACCTGAGCTTTCGTGATCTCGGTTGGGTCAGGGCTCCGATCGTGTTACGTTCCAAAAGTCGCCGAGGAGAGGTTTTGCCTGCGATGTTGAATGCCTTCTAGGATTTCAAGTTCCAATTTATCTGTCAGTCAACTCCCTGAGCCAGGAACAGGCTGTGCAGCCAGACGACCGATTGTACAAGCAGCTTCAAGCGCGACGGCGGCCCAAAGTGATGTCATGTGCACAGGGTGGAGACCATTCACTCTCGCCCGAGTTGTCAGAGCCAGAGTGTAGCATCCCATGGACATGGAGTGGCACAGGGTTTGAGCTGATGACTTTCGTGACTATAGGGCATTGCAAAACCATGCCGATGGTGCGTGGGCTGGTCGCACGGGCTTCGCCGAAACTTACTTAACATGCTCCTTTGTGCAGCACTACAGATCGCTTGGTGGCAGTGACGCTACAGACTCTTCCCAAAGTGAACCCCGATCGAGCTGTCCGCGGCACAAGGCCGACATCATGACCATACAATCTCGAACCCAAGACTTCGGCGTCTCCTATCCTGTAAATTCCAGATTCTAGATAGAAGATCCCATCCTGGGGTTTTCTGCTCGACCCAAATGTTGGGAGATGGCTCGAGTTTGCAGACTGTGCCGAAGTCGCCTAGGAGGCCGAAGTTCTCCAGGGGTGTTTGTGAGAAGGGCTTTGGTGGCTTCAGGGGGAGGATCAGTATGAACCAGGAGTGCGGTTGTTGAGGATCTGGCTGGCTTCCAGGGGAGATGCAAGCGAATAGCTAAGTTTAGAATGTGAAGGGGAACAGCAAAGCAAGATTGTCCAAAGTTCAAATGTTCTATTGTGGCATCCCCATTAAAAAACAACAGTATGATGGGCACTGTATGGATGATCTTGGGTTGGGCATGCTCCAGGAGATCCCCGAGCGAGGAGAACATTCAAAAAGTCCCACACCGATTGGGAACCATGAGAGAGAGAGGGAGAGAGCAACTTGTCTGTGTCAAGGTTCAGGTCTGAAGGTTTGAGATTGTGCTTTTGTTTTCTTTGCCTAAGGCATAAGGCACAGGCACAGGAACCCAAGTACACAACGCAGCGCACATTGTAATAGCACACACCTGGCATGCCCACCAGAACATGGCATGGGGTTTCCAAGGTTTCCCAAGAATTCGCACGCCCTCGGTCAGGATTTTGGAATCTAAACCCGAAGTGTTGGAATCCTGCTTGTTCTACCGTACCTGGCTTCCACACAGCCCTTGTGAAACCTATGATTTTTGTATACGGGTCCCTTATGAGGATCCTCCCTTACAGCAAAATGGGCGGGAGTAGGAGTCATCACCGTCGTCATGATTCTCTTGTCAGGCCCTCGGCACATGGCAATGCAGTCGACGACTCCGAAAAGGCGCAGCTTGATAGGTTTCTCCAAGCCTTTTTTGATGATGCGGTTGTGCCCTCGGGTTTGGGGACCCTGCTTAAAGATCCTCCAATCAAAAACATAAGGGTCATGGGAGTAGAGGAAGGCGAACCTTTAGGGGAACAACCGTAGGGGCACGGTACAAGCCTTAATCCCTTGATTTGACTCACCGCAGGGTGAACATGGGGAGCGGGCCGAAAAAAACACAGCAGCCCACCCCGCCCCCCCCGTCCCCCCAAGTACTGTAGCCCCATAAGGTTGCAGGGTCCTTAAGGGAGGGGGTTCATAGTAACCCTTACTAAGGGTTTAGGGTTTGATGGGGGGTAGGTACCTAGAGAGCTGAGGGAGCCTAAAGCGGGAACCTAGGGCCTCCCTTGAAGCCCTCCCTTAAGGACCCTAGTTACAGTGCGGCTTTACCAGAAGATGGGTTTTCCCAGCACCTCTTTGGGTTCAGCGAAAATGGCTGGAGGGTTCTCCCTCGCTTTTCGGGGGCACCCTCAGGTTCCGGTGCGGGGTTGGGGGGTTGGCTTGGGGGGGGTGGTGGAATTGCATTTGAAGGTGCACGGTTGGTGGTGCAAGCCTTCATCAAGGTTTAGGGTAAACATGGGAGGACGTTGGGGGTGAAAAGGGTTCTTTTTTGGGACTGCGGCAACAGATGTGCCTGCAACCACCAAGGCGGCCTCGGCTCAGCAGGGTGTCTGCTTGTGATCCTTTCTAACTCTCCAACAAGGTGAGGTGCTAGGTCTGCTAGTCCGTGTGAGTGTGGAGAACCCCCAACCCTCTCTAGTCCTCAAGCCCTTACATCCCTACACCTATAACAGCCTATAACCGACTACAACCCTTAGAACCCTCAACGCCTTAAAGTCTAGTAATGCCCTGAAGCCCTTAAGCCCTTAAGCTCTTAGCCCCCCTGCGAGCCGCGGTGGTGAGCCTGACGCGATGCAAGCTGATGCCGTCGTTGGCTGTTGGTTTCTGCTTGAAGCTGGGTTTGAGACGAGGGGTTTTGGGGCGTAAGGCTATGAGGCTTAATCGGGTTAACTTGTTCAATGGCTGCGCTTGATGTTCCACAACAGTTTTGTCTGAGGATATGGCAGCTAGAAAAGCTTGGTCCAGACCGGCAACCACGCAAAAGTGGTTTCACAATTTGGGCCCCACAAGTTACATCCAAATCGCAATCCAATCCAGGTGTTAAACTGTTAGGCTTCATGACAGATCTGATCCCCAGTCGAAGAGTTTGAGGACAGTTGCGTCGGCAACAAACCAGCTGCGGCCGGGTGGCCTGCCATCAGCCGCGGTAGCGTTCGTCGACCCTTGACGATCCATTTCGGGAACGTGCGGGGGCTTCCGTGGTTTTGTGGGAAGTTCCGGGGTCTGAGTAGTTGACGCAGCTTGAAATGGTCTTGCGTCTTTTGAAAGTTCTGTGGATCCCCATCCTGAACTTGTTTTGACTAGGGGTTCTGATTGTCCTGCGCCTGAAGGTCACCCATAGAATGAGGTTTCCGCTTCACGTAGAGTTGCAGTCATGATTTTTCGAACAGGCGCAGAAGGCAGAAACTGGAGTGACTGAGCTCATTTCCTTGTAGAGATGTTCTTCACTGTTTCAAGGAACCTCTTGCATCCTGGAAGCACGGCAAAGCTGCCGTCATCCCGGATGCAGCGCCGTTGCCGAGAACATGTGGGGCAGTTGCTGGGCTGGCGTTAAGGAGTTCTTCTCTTGAGCTGGGAGCCTGCAGAGCGAAGCTGTCGCAACCTTAACCCCAAACTTGATATAGTCGCCTTCACAATTCACAAGCCCTGCAAGACCTCTGGCAACGCAGCTGAGGATGGGGTCCTTGCCCTAGAAGCAGGCATGACATACCAAACGCAGACCGACCACGACCACACCATGGATGAGAATTGCAGCGTTCTTCAGGGGGCACCGGGCGCCACCATCTGGGTCGCTACAAGCATCTCATTCGCACACCAAGATGCTGGGATGCATTTGGGTTTTAGAACATCTAAATATACATCTGTAAGTGTATAAAATATACATTCTATTCTCTTCTATTACATGATGTCACATCATATTATATTTTCTCTACACATACACAGGTAGACACGTGATGTTACACTACATCATCCACCCTTCCATTCCAGACTGTTCAGCAGCTTGCGATCGTGTCATGGGTTCCAGCTGTTTGGGTTTTTTTCTGTTTTCACATGCTAGAACTTGCCTGAAATTCAGTCTGTTCAGGCGATAGTTCGTGGCCCCCTCACAGTGACGATGGCGCCGGGCGTCAAGACGCTGAGCTCTTCGGCCATCCAGAGCCACCAAGACTTGCACGTGCATTCGCCGACGGGGAGCAGCGTCATCTTTCGGGACATCGTTTGCTCAAGCCCGGGTGCTGCGTTGGATTCGGAGCGCAGTATATTTCTGGAGGGCAATGGCCGTATTCTGTTCGAGAATTTATGCAGCTTCAAAGGAGGTGCGGCAGCAAGGGCAGACAACGATGTCATCAAAAGCACAGTTGCCACCCTTGTTGTTCGCAACACATTTGGGGCGAACAGGGGAGGGGCCTTCTATGCTGGCTTGGGCATATATCTTGACAGCAATGGCACGGTCATGTTCGAGAATTGCACCTCAAGCTGGCGAGGAGGTGCACTGTCTTCACGTGGGCACCTGAGAATTGGTGGAAATGCAGAGTACATCTTCCGGAACTGCAGCAGCGCCGGGAAAGTGATTGGGGGAGGTGCCTTGAGCGCTATCGGTAGCGTATTGGTCGAGCTGCAGTCAGGCTCAGTCAGCTTCAGGCAGTGCCGAGCGCCAGCCATGGCGCGCGGAGGCTCCGGTGGGGCAATCTCCAGTAATGGTGACATCAACATCAGCAGTGGCAGGGTTGACTTTGAAGCCTGCTGGGCTGGAACAGGCAACGGCAACGCCATGATGGCTCCCAACGGGTTCGTCAGCTTGAGTTCGGAAAGCCACGTGTCACTGGTAGGCATGGAAGGTTTCTCTGGCTCGGCAATATTTGCTCGCAGGGTATTTCTTCCTGTTGGGGGCTCGGTGTTGCCTGCACAAGTGTATTCGCTCCTCCCGCTGCTTGCTTCCAAGCTGAACAGCCAGGGCGACGAGATCTGCCCTGCTGGGTCGCGCTTCAGCGTCAGCTCACGCGGCCTCCCGGACAGGAGCAAATACGGCAAGTGCAGAATCTGCGACGTCGGCACTGCGTCGCTGACGCCCGCGAGCGTGGAGATCCAAAACGTGTTTTCGGGCCCTGAGCTTGGGATGCGCGTCGTGCTGGTGAGACGGGGGTCCCCCAATGCTATCAAGAGTTTCCAGGACCTGGCCGCAGGTAAGGCCAGTCGCTTCAGCGGTTTGGGTTTGGAGCGTGGGGACTGGGACCCCAACATGGAGGCACCTCTTGTGAAGCTGGGGAAGGAGAATATCCTCAAGTTCAAGTTCCATGACGGGAAGTTTCGGACTCCCGATGGCTGGCTCCTGGCAGTTCCTTTTGGCCTCTTTTACCCAGATGCCCCTTTGGGGCTTGTGAAGGAAGGAGAGGTCCCTTGGAAGAGAGAGATCAATAAGGTAGTGCTCTTCCGCATGGACAGGTTCAAGGATGAGGACACCATGGGACCCCTGCATGCTCGTGGGCTGGTCCTCGGATTTGGACGTGATGTTACGGCTGTCTACCAACCGCCCAACCCCTACAAGGCCTGTGTGCCTTGCCACCTTCTGGCGCGAGAGGGGGCGGACAAAATCCAGTGCCATGGGGGCACGCACGTTAGCTCTCTACCAGGCTACATGCTCTTCCATCGTCAAGGGGGGCGCAGGCTTGAAGTACATGTTTGTCCAAACGCGGCTGCGTGTCCTGGCAGCAACTTGAGCTTGACGGCCGATGGGCAGATCACATCTGCCAGCCGGCTTTGCAGCAAAGGCTACGATGACAGGAGCTCTGGATGCGTTCGATGCTCGCCTGGGCACGGCCGGCAGCAGCTGGACCCCTTCACCTGCCAGAAATGCGGAACTTCTGCGCTGGGTGGGATGGCCAAGGCTTTTATCTCCAACGGCATCTTCTATGCTTGGGCGCTCCGCTCGGCAAGGCCCAGGACTGAGACTCGCCAGATTTTCACCATCTTCCTGGCATTTCTAACCATTTCTTTTCGGAGCCTCGCGGCCTATCCACACACCCGGCACTTCCAGCGACTGAAAGGCGACGTTTACGCCGTCGGGCGGATGCTACGCAAGGCCTTCGTGGCAGCAGACACAGTAACCACCGTTGAGCCTGGATTTGGCATCGACTCCTTCGACTGCTGGGTCGGTGCACCTGTGGGTGTGTACCGGGGCCTTTGCCTGTCCTGGTCCATTCCGTTGGCATTGCTACTGGTCTCTCTCGCCTGGCACAAGGGTCGACATGGGCAGAGGTCGCTAGTCGTATGGGGAAACGTCTTTGCCCCACGGCTTTTTGGAGCCTCTGCCATGTTGGCCCCTTGTGTCTCAACACAAGAGAGCCGCGGGCGCATCCTCATGTATGAAGCAGTCTTCGACACACCCTGTGCCTCCTCTGTGATGGATGCCGTGAGGATACCTCGCTTGTGGCTGTCCTTGATGACCAGCATCTTGCTCCTTCTGTTGGTGCCGGTGCTGTGGCTATCCTTGGTAACGAAGGGATCGGCGTATGAGTCGGAGACCGTGGGGTTCTTGGTGGGAGGGTACCGGTCCACTCATCGCTGGTGGGAGGTTTGGAGCTTCTGAACGTGGACTTTCCTGGTATGTGTTATCTAAAGCGTAACGCGCACATGTGCCGAAAAGCTCCGATCCATCTAACAAGTTTTCTCTGGAGCCTGGTAACGCACCAAAGGATAGAAGCCTGTCGTCCCACGTACGTATGTCGGAAGCACTCATCATCATTCATCATCATGAGCATCATCGTCATCACTCTCCATCACTCTACGTAGCTGTGACAGTCAGGGTTCACCAGCCCCGCAGGTCGTGGTCTTTGGGAGGAAGGCTGCCATTTACGTGGTGGCAACATGGTTTCCAATGTCGTGGGCACCAGGGGCGCATTTGATCTACCTCCTTGGCATCATCCTCGCTGCGGAGCTTCTCCAAAGCACGATCAGGCCTTACGAAAATCCAATCTTCAACCAGTTGGAAGCCCAGGCCTTGGGTGTGTCTGCCCTATGCCTGGCGTTGGTGCTCTCGCTGCTGGTGGAGTGGCCTTTCATGCCATACGCCATCTTCGTCACAAACAGCGCCCTGTTGTTTCTGACCACTGCTGCCGTGTACACTTATTTTATCCGCCTCTACGTACAAGCCGCGCTTGCTGCAAAGAACGGCAGAGAGCCTTGTGTAGCAGAGGCTTCGCCTCCCCCGCCGGCTTCCAGTGGTATCGAGCTCTCAGCAAGAGGGGCATTGTCCACAGGAATGAGTGGTGATGCTGGTGACAGTAATTCGGGCGACCAGTGAACCTGTCAGGAGCAGATTCAACGTAGCGACGGGTTCGAAACGAGGGGCCTGCCGGATGGAGATTTTGGGTCGGCACATTTTTAGGTTTCCCGATCTGGGGGTCCTTAAGAGGGTGTTTTCTGTAAGGCAGAAAGACAATTATCCATGAAGCCCCACTTCATCATCCCAAGCGCCCCATCTATCAGCACAGTGAAATTACTAGCTGGGAAGAGTACTTTGTAAAGCCGTTCTTTCTGCCAGCCGCTTGCTCTCTCGAGTCAGACAGCGCAGTATGGCATATTAGTACTTGGCGTTATCTTTTCGATCGTAGATAGTCTACAGCTCAGGCATGGTTTGGGCCTGCGCAAACCTTCTTCTTGGAACTTGTGCTTCGGAAGCATGCCGTGAACCAATCAAAGGAAGGCGTACCTGAAGCTTTGTAGACCCTTTAGCCTATGGACACGTGGGACGGAGGCGTTCGCTGCTGGCTGCGTTCTAGAATGGCCTCTATTCGGCAGTGACTTGGCAAGCAAAAGGTTTTTTTTTTCTTGGGTTGGTGTTGAGGTCTGTTTTCGGGGCTTTGGTTTTCCAAACATCTGCCCCAAAGTGCGCTCATCTGATTTACTAAGGCCTCTGCACCAGGGTCGGCGTTGGGCAAAAACGGGCCGAGAGCCTTTGCAGAGGGTGTTTGCGTCAACCGTGACTTTGGATGTTGTGAGTATATGACGTGCGGTTTGCATGGTAGTAGCAGCGTATTCTCTTGAAGACTGTATAAGTCTCAGAAATCTCCGACGGTTACAAGCAACAATACTCCAGCCGTCCACGCAGTGCTATGGCTAGGCGACGTGGTGGCCAAGTGCTGGCACGTAGGAGGTTTGCTGAAGGTGGGTGCTCGGAACAGTCGGCTCAAACCAGGGGCAGAGGAGACAAGAAGAAGCTGGAAGTCACTACAACTCAGCAGCCCTGGCAAATCTGTGCTCTGATATGCAATGGAGTGCCTTTTAAGGCCTTTAATAAGGCGCATGTTCTAGGCATCCCATCTCATGACAGGTTGGGGCGTGTAGGGAGGTAGCCGAGGACGGCTTGTCATGTTTCAAGGGCAGCGTAGCTTCGCAGCTCGGACTCATCTTCCACTTGCTCGGCGTCACATGGCCAAGGTCCGCCGATCTCGATCTCCCTTGAAAGCTGCTCGTGCTCCTCAGAAAGTGTTGCGGCGCGGGCAAGGCCCTCGTCGGTTTGGATGGGCCTCGCAGCCGCCTTCCGACGCAGCTCCCTTGACATGCCTGGCTTTTGGCCCGGAATCTTCATATGCTGTCATCCCACCGAGCAGCTCATTCCCCTGTGCCTTTTGAAAAAAAAAACAACCCAACAAGCTCCTCACAGGCACGAAGTATGTTGAGTATCTGGCCTTCTCTGGCTCAGAAAACTACTACCTGCGCTTTTCGGATGGCAGCTGGGACACGAAGCTGTCTCCGGCACTCCTCGGGATGATTGAACAACATGGTGTTACATGGATAACCTTTGGCACTGACAGTTGCATCTTTAAATCCGCGCAGGGGCAGCTGCACTGCTGGAATGTCCCAAGTGAGTTGGAGGAAAAGCTGGCCTCTGCAACGGACCTCCGGTTTGTCAGTTTAGGCACTGCAGGCTCCTATTGCGCAATTTCGAGTCGGACCGCATCTGGAGCGGAGTCCCCAACACCTTAGACGAGATTCTGAAGACGAAGACTGTGCCTGATTCCAAGGCAAACATCCGAACGTTCGACGCCGTGTGGCTTTCAGCTTATGATGACCGCTTCTATTTGGAGTACAATGGGGGCGCCGCTTATTGGCATGGAGTGACCTGCTCTGACTTCACGGCCATGATGCAGTGCGACACCATGCTGTGCCCAGAAGACGTGTATTACACCAATGATTCCATTTCAAGTACTTTCTCAGATGGCAGATCCATCTACGATGCTGCGGCAAGTTTCAACACACACAGCTTACGGGTAACGGACTTTCCGTTGATGCACGTGTTCAGAAGTGGCAGTTGTTATTTCAGTCGCAACAACCGGCACTTGTGGGTCTTTCGCAACTCCGGCGTGGATTTGGTACCGGTCAAGTTGGTACGGCGTCCCGCTCGCTCCAGTCGCTTGCTCCCACGAGAGCATGTTTGTGTGCGGTACGCTCGGTAGGAAGACATACCTTGCAAGCGTCACTTGCGAAGACTGAGCTTGGCTGGCTGAATTGTTTCTATAATGCGCAGAGGAAACTCTGCCAACTCATATGTCCGCTCCTGTTCGTGGTCGTTCGTACCATCCTGTTGATGATCTCTCCCTCTCTCTCTCTCTCTCTCTCTCTCGCTCTCAATCTATCCCCGATAGCAGTGACTGCAGCATTCCGTTTGAATTTGAACGTCCTTGCCAATTTCAATACAGTAACGGCTGTGAGTAAGGATGCACAGCGCTTTTGGCTTTTGCGCCTGCGCACGCACAACTGCGAGTCGAAGACCTACCCTAAAACAGGTACATTCCGGCCTTTGCCAACATGGTGGTGCTGCCGAAGAGAGGGCAGAAGGCCGTCGGGCCGAAGCGAATCTTGTGATGAAACCCAAAACCCTTTTGCCGCTCTGCAGAGATAGGGCTGCAGAAACCCTAAACTCTACACCCCAAAACCTATCTTGCAGCTCTTGTCTTGATTTTGCTTGACCATGTCCTCTGCGATAAGGACAGCCGGACCAAAAGCTATTTTAAGACTCAAAGCCACTCCTGCCACTAACTAAGCCTTGAGAAGCCCTCAAATGCCTGAGGCCATCCATGCCCAAAACTCTGACTCACGCCCTCCGGGTACTTTCTATACACCACACCGGGTATGTCACGCAACATGAGGATTTATAGGGGTCATGGGACGGTTCGGTCGGCTGCGAATGCACGCAGCCTTCAAACCTCCTTCTCAGCAGTCTCTTGCCCTGAAGCTCTTCCGGGCACCTCCCGAGCAAGGGGTGAGGGTGAGAAATCTCTGCATCAGGAGAACCAGCCCTGCGACAAGGCAGGGTTTGTCAGAGTGTTTCCTCCCGGGCTCCAGGCTCGAGGGTACTTCAAAGGTTGTTTGCCAGAGGCAGGCAAGACCCAAGACCCGACCTGTGAGCAGCTGTTGGGAGTGCAGAAGCCACGTTTGCCTGCGGGTTCTGTACTTTCCCAAAGATCGACTCGGCGATCAGAGACAGAGACAGAGAGACAGAGAGAGTGTGAGTGTGAGTCGGAGTAAGGGCGTGGGCATGAGCGTGAGCGAGCGAGAGAGTCTTCAACCTCTGTTGAGCTGGAAGCCGTGCGTCGCCACGTAGAGCCCCCCGACAGTTCACTCCAAACATGTAAACGTGCAAGAAACTGAGAGGCAGGACTTGAGAACTTGAAGATGAGCTGTGCTCCTCCGAGACAGCCCAGGCCATCACATTGCGACAGCTGATGACCCACACATCAGGCCGGGGGAATTCACTTTAGGTTCGTTGGGGGTTGGAGCTTCAAAGGGAAAGAGTACCATCCAGCAGGTTTCAGGACACCTGCCTTAGGGCTGTGGGGCTGGTCGGCCAGAAGCGACGCCGAAAGCGCAAGTGCACCCCAACGCTCAATTCTTCTATTCAGCATCCTCCCTCCACCCATCTCCACCCTACGCCTAATCCGACGAGGGCTGCCAGCTGGCAGAGCAAAGTCGGCTCTGTGGTATGCCTGATATGCAAATGTTTTTGCTACAGTGTCGAGTTTGAAGGTTCCAGCCATCACTCCGTGCTTAACAACGCAGTTAGTACTGTTGTCATACAATGTAATTCTCTACCGCATTAGACATGTACTCCGGCTTTCGGCATGTAGGGAGGTTTCGTTTTTCGCAGATTGATTAGAACTGTGGAGGGCTTGAAGCCTTCACTTGCTGAGTTGCTGATGCTGGGCATGTGCATTGTTCTTGTTCCGACTCTGCCGCAGGCATAGGCTACGGGGCCACGCTGGACGACCCCTGGCCCCCCGAGAAAGGCCGGATAGGGCTCGACACACCCAAAATCTCTTTCTCTAAACTCCATAAGCCCCATGAGCCATGCATGAAGCCAAGGCCCGAACGAAGGCCCTCAACGCACGAAGGTCCTCGGGCCGAGGTTCTCGGATTTCAAAATGTGACACGTGTGGATCAGGCAGAAAGCGAGGTTTGCAATGTGATGTGAGGGTGAGCCTTGCCGACATGCGCATGGTGTACGGGACACACGGTCTCCTATGGCTGAACACTTCTGGGTTTGCACCAAGAGGTGCAAGTCAAATCCGAACTTTGACGCCTTGAAACACAAACGGCTCGTCCATACACATCCCGCCGCCGTTGCAACCGTACCCTATTTTTATTGAAAGTTAGTGTTTCGCCTAGGCGAAATGCATATTTTGGCAGCTGGAAAAACGAGCCTATTTTTGACGTCGTCGTTGCGAATCCTCGGGTTTTTGCAAAATTTTGGGGTCCAATTTTGGTTTCGGCTCGCAGAGCAATGCAGTGCGACTTTTGCTTTCTTGCATGTGCCGTCGGGAGGCAAGTGTCAAAGCTTTGCAACGGCTTTGCCGGTTTGGACGAACAAGTCATTTCCTTGGAGCTCATGTCTCCATTGGTAGGATCTGACATACTGCATCGCCAGGCTTGTTTTTTTCGAAGCCAAGCAGCTGGGCAGAAACTTCTTGACATGGCCCCAGAAGCCATCGATGGTGCCTGTGTGCACCTTGACTTTTCTGTGGTTGATCCGTCTTGTGACGGAAAAAACCCCGTTACTGTGATTACAGGCTGCATGTGTGAGATGAAACTGCTGACAAAGTCCACGGTAGACTCTGGCTCCATCAGTGATGAGGATGGTTTTCTTGTTCTGCTCAGAGCGTCGCGCCACACTTTCCATTGCTCCAACCTTCCATTTGAGAATTTTAATGATATGAACACGTTATACTATTTTTCTTTATGTTATTAGTATATGATTAGAGTATTATTTCAATGAGATTTTTGATGTTGAATAAATTAGATTCTTACACGTCTTGAAGCTGCCGAGTTGGAAGGTTTGGTGCGAAGAGTGAAACCCCAGCCTAAACCCGAAAGCCTATCTGACAGACATCGCAAGACGTCCTGCCTGCAAAATGCGATCCCGGCGTGGACATCTGCGAAGTCGAAGTTGCGGAAGCCAGCGAGGTCATGCGGCAAAGGAACATCTTGACAGCGAAGTAAAAGCACGAAGGCCAGCAGGCAGGAGAGCCAGCAGTGGAACACAGCGGGCTCCGGCGACATGGAAGAGATGCAGTAAGCGAGACAAGTCTGCAGGAATTGGCCGAAACATGTCGGTAAAGGGTAGGTGAGGCCTTTGGGGTATTTGAGGAGGAGAATGCCAAGTGGGAAGGTTTTTTTTTGGGTGGATGCTGGGTGGAGAATTCGGGGGGCAGTGAGGACGGAATGGTACAAGGCCCTTCAGGGTACAATTCGTGTTCACCAGGACGTAACGAAGCTCCTACAGCCCAAACCCCAAAGGAAAAGGACGGGTTGGCCAGGGTAGACAGGAAAGAACGGAACTAACCCCCCCCCCCCCCCCCCCCCCCCCCCCCCCCCCCCCCACCCCCACCCCAAAACCAGGTACGGTTTCACCGCCTTCTGCATACACATGCGATGTATGGCGATGGAGCTCTGACATTCGCAGCGGCACCTCCCCCTCAAAAGCCTTGGGCCTGCCGGGATCTGCAAAGACAGTGACCGGGAGTGGTCTTCAGATTGCAGGTTCGTACTACAAGATCTACGAGGAGCTGTCCGAGCGAACGAGAAGCCAGAACCCTGATCTGCTAAACTTCTGAATCCTCGCCCCCTCTTTCGGGGAGAGGGGGGGGCGGGTGGGTTTAAAAGGATGCAGGGCTTTAAGGTTGAAGGCGTTCACGGCAGCCTCACCTCTGCATTTCAACCATGCACTCATGATCACTTCTGTCACGCCTATGACGCCATGCTCAAGCAAGTAATGTTTGTTCCCTTTCCTCGGTCAGCCACGATCGAGGTGGTGCGATCACCAGCCTGGAGCAATGGCTTCCCCCTCAGCCAAGAGAGACCCCCTTCTCAATCCCGACGGAAGCTGGGGTGTAGGCTTGCCGTTTCACATAGAAGCCAATCTGGGAGCCGACTTGACTGAATCCCCAGGTGTGTCCCCCACCAGTGTCTATTGACTTCGGCTCAGGTTTGGGACATGTTGCGTGGCCGGTTGAGGGATTCATTCGTGGTTCAGTGCCTGCTCGCGACTCCATGTCGCCCCTGAACAGCCTCTAAGAGCTTTGCAAGGCTTGAAAACACCAAGGGCTCGTGTTTTACTTGCAGCAAACTCACTTTTGGGGCTTGAGAATAAGGGGCTTGAACAGCGTTGGGGAAAGCAACCCTTGTTTGACACGCTCGGATGTCAAAGCTCGACGCTACGCCAAGACCAGACACGTACAGTTTGGACCGTCTTTATTCAATGCAGGTGTTGAGATACCGGTCACCTTCGAAATATTGAAGACACCCGTGGGCTATTAATGTAGCACAAGATGCACAAAATCTCTTCGCACTAAACCGGACCTGCAGACAAGAGCCCCCCCCCCCTCGAGAGCCGAGATGCAGAACAGAGACCACCCAGAAAGGTGCGACGAGCTGGCAAAAGTCCCCCTGAAGGGACAGCCCGGGCGCTACTGGGTCCGCCTGGCATATCTTATCATGGTCTGGCGGTTAAAAGGGGCTAAAGGGGCTATGGGGCGCGGGGGCCTTCACAGGGATGACCACTAGATTCTTGAACCCTGCTTGAAGCCAGCCCTGGGGCAGGATTACAGCTACAGCCTGGATGTTCTCGGACGGGTCGCACCCTGAGCAGGCGCTTCTTGAGATCACTCAGGCTAGGGCAACTCCCAGTCTGGATTTCAACATGGAAAGCGCTGTGATTTTTTCTCCAGTAAATCATACAGTAATAATGAATCAAAAGGTTGCGCAGTATGCAGGCTGGCTGCAGTCACCCTGAAGACGAATGCTGGATGCTCTTTGTTAGCCTCCCCCTTCACCCCCCCGCTTGTAACGCCAAGCTTCCCAAGTCTTGTGGGGACGATGAAGGCTCTCCCGCCTAAATGCTCCGGTCCGTATCAGCTCAGGAGGACGAGAGGCAATCCGGGCCTATAAATCCTCAACCCATCTCACCCCCCAAAACATCCCTCCTTTTTGGAAACCCCGGCCATCCGCGCACCCAAACACGTTCAACCCGAAACTTAAACTAGCCTTGCCTGGGTCTGAGCCCGTTAAATACCCTTAGTTAATTTCATTTGCTGCTGGGCATCATCCCAAGATCGCCCCAGTGCCAGACATGCCGAAACTCGCAAACTTGTGGGGCTCGATCTTGACCACACAGGCGAAGCCTTACAAGCTCCAGGGATCGAATGGGCACTAGAGGGCACTCATCATGTGGTGGATGCAGCCGGCATAAGACCTACGGCAATCTGGCAGCCTAGCAACCTTACCAGCTACACAAGCCGGGGGTTTGTAAGCTGACGACTACGACATGTCAAGAATGAGACAAGCTGCACTCGAGCTGCCAACTCATCCTGAAACCTCAAGATGCCACGGCTTTTAGCCCTCCTGACAAAACATGCCTTTCAGCTGAGGAGCATTGACTTTTTACCTACACCACGTACAGCACTGTGACATATGTTGTATGGGGCTGGTGGGTGGGAGGGGTATACCGTCTTTCATGGTGACCCTTCTGCGCTGGGCGGCGACGCTGGCACAATGGAGAATGCTGCACGCGGAGGCCCTACCCGAAGCTTCATGACCACGAATCCACCCTAAAAGTCAGATGCTTCCTTTCGATATTTACATATGTTATGTATTATATACTCCTCTCTCTCTCTGTATATGATATGCTTGTTTATCAATATAAACGTGTTCTTCACCATACTATTTTTTGTTTGATTGCGGATTGCAGGTTACGCATTACATAACATTACATTTTATACGCCATATGTATATATATCTCTCTCTCTCTCTCTCTCTCTCTCTCTCTCTTAGTATAATTCGTATAGTATAGTATTGTCCATCTCTAAGTCGATCCACCCTGAGCTGTTGCTCTCACGCCGACGATTTCATCCACGGGACTTCCGTAGATCGCCACCTGAGGGCACAGATTCTTGCACTCCAGACGGGAACACTAGAGAATGCATCGGCCGGTTGAAAGTAGAGTTGTTTCAGGAGTCAGCATCAAGATACATCAAGCCTAGAAGATGCTTCTACATGCTTCTGCAAGCAGCCACCCCTCCTAACCACCCCCTCGACCCCGCCCCCCACCCCCCCCTCCCCATTCCTCAGCACAGGCCCCGGTGGAGAGCTGCTCACAGGTGCTGTCGCACCTCTGCTTGATGATATGATGGGGCCAGGGTGCGCGAAATCTATGATGTCGAGCTCGGGCCATTCAGGCAACAGACTAAAAGCGCTGTGTCCCTTCTGACAGGAGTCTGAAGTTGACCTCTAAGTTCAGAGGGTTGAGGGTTAGTTTTAGGGTATGGCTGCTGAGGGGTTGAGAGGTCTCCCGGCTTGCGCCGAAACAGCCTTAAGAGCTCTAAACCCTGCAACCCCAAAGCCACGGCCGCTGCATGTAGCGGGGAATCAAGTAAAGGCCGAGCCAGCGCGTCTACGATGCCAAGGTCTTCCTGGAGCCGGCCAGCGGGCACAAACAAGCCTCACCCCCAAACCCTATATCCTCCGAGGATCATCCGATAGAATTGGCAAGGCCACACACAAATCGAGACGTGTACGAATTCGACAGCCCCTTCAGACCCAGGGTTCTGGCACGTTGTAGCTTTGAGCCATGAGTATCTTAGCGACTTTTTGGGAGCGATGGAATTCAGGGCTTCAGAATGAATTTGGGAGAGGGCAGGGGAAGACGCTGTCAGAGTCCCTTTGAGGTTCAGTCGGAGAGCTAGAAGATGTTTGGTTTTGGAGTCGCGGTACCTTTCTGAATCCTATCGCCGACCGCAGACTCTGGGATTCTCATGGGCTTCGGGAGGTGACCAACTGGCTCCGCGAATCGACGATGAGTACAGAGGTGACTTGGGTATAGGGGCTTGTGGGCCTGTACAGAGCGAGCCAGCATCTCGGGCCACAGCTACGGGCCCATCATGAATCACACAATGGTCTTCTCTTCTCCTCGGCAAGATGCAGTTTGTCATGTCCAGTTGGCTCAGTTGTCTTGAACACTCAGAATGGGAAAGGTGAGGACATTACCGCGCACTGTTTTCCAACCCCTCGGCTGAAGCCAGATTTTGTCTCGCATCTTGGAAAGTGACTGCTGTTGAGGGATCTATGTGCAACAGGGATACCTTAAACTTGAGACATTGCCACGTTTTTTTCATTCCTTGTTGCGCATTGTGACGGACACTATGGCCGAACATGTGGAACGATCAGCCTGGCAAGCTTAGAAGCGGAACGCCTCACAGCCATGGGCTTGAGATGCATGTCTCCATTCAATATCAATTGCGAGACATCCGCTTGACATAGAACAGGTTATGATGGCAATAATAGAGCCACAATAGTTACAACAACCATACTCAGAGTGATGACAAGCCATGAGTCGCAAGCAGTTTCGGGAGAGAGGTGTTGAGGTTTGTGGCATATATATATATGTAAAGGTATTATATTTGTGTATATATATATATAGGGGCTGATCTTGATTCTGGACTCTTGTGGTTACCTTAAATATGTAAGGAGCAATGCTTTAATATCGACCCCCGAGAAGGGTCCATTTACTGACCCCCTTAGCCTCCTAAGCTGCAAGTACTCCACATGGCGAGTGGCAGGACCAATACCTGATGGGAGAGCTGGGTGGTGAGGTGAACTTTGCTTGTGTCCTGCGCTCAGCCCTGAAGCCGATTTTGGGGGTTTCCGAAATTAGGGGTACCTTATTGGGGTCCTGATTATCCGGGAATCCTAAAAATTGGGGACTATATTAGGGGTCCCTTGTTTTCGTAAACCTTATGTTGTGGCTGAGCTGATTGTGGCGGCTTGGGGTTCATATCTCGGTTTTCGGGGCTGTCGCATGTCACATCACACGAGCGGTCAAGTAGGCAAGCCAAGCAAACAGGTGCATAATGCGCCAGAGCAAATGCCTGGAACCCTAAACACGAACAAAAGCTACATACCCTGAACCCCTCTAGGGCCTAGCCGGCCTGCTGTAGCCGTGCCACGCAGACCCAGGAGCCATCACAATGTTTCTCGGTTGTCTGTGTCGCGGAGAGGATCTCCATCTCAATCGCGTTCCTTGGCTTCAGCTAGCCATGTTTTTGAAATCGCGCGCGCTTGCTACAAGATGTTCTTTATCAGTGACGTTCGAGGTCCTGCCTCTATGGCGCTAGCTGCCGCGAGATTCCCTGGGAAAGCCTGCGCAACACGCCCTGGGAGAATTTGATTCGGAATCCATGGCCTGTTTTCGAGCTGGTTGCCAAATGGGGGCGTGCCCACAGAGAGTCCGCAGAGAAGCAAGCAAGCGTGACCGAGCTTTGTACCGAGAAGTCTTCATCGAGTCTTCTCAACTTCGACGGGAAGTACTTTGATGATCAGATCTCACGCCTGGAGTCTTCTCCCAGCCTGCGCAGGAAGGGATCCCAGCTGTTGGCTGCAACCTTACTGGAGGAGGCAAATCTGGTAGAGTGGTCATACTTGCAGGACTTCTGCGGACGACTGCTCTGGAGCACGCTGATTATCACCTTGGCGTTGGCACGCGACGGCGCTGCTTTATCTGTTGGGTATGCCTTGAGAAATCTGTGGCTTTATGTCATCCACACCTCCCTCGAAACAACTTTCATGGACCAGGAGGCTCCAGCAGGCCTGCTAACCTTGACTTCGTGCCTTACTTGTTCCATATAGTTGCGCGCCCAACGTACTTCGCGGTGTAACATCTGGACGGTTGGTCCTGTCAGTTGCGGCCCGGGTTCAGACTTCGAGGCCAGCTTCTTGTGGCTGAACTTAAGCCGTAAACTCTAGCAGGGCTGCATGGTTTTTGTGATCCTGATGACCTTGCCTCGCATGTCTGAGTCAAGGAACTGGCCTGAAACGCCAGTTTACCCAACTAGCGCAGGTGCAGGGCAAGTGTGCGACATGCGAAACGCGGCATTGTAGCATGTGACCAAGGTCCTACAACCCTTGTGCCCCTAAACTTTGAGCCCCTATTAACCCGCTGTAAACCCTAAACCACTCCCCGACTCCCTATATGAACCCTAGAGGCACTGACGGCCTACAGCCAGAGCTGCCATACATGGAGCTGCTGGCGACCGGCCCGTGGAATGTGCTGCCATTTGCTGGACATTTAGATTTTTCGGTGTCGCACAGGCGTTTCAGGGCTGAGGGTGGGGGGGGGTCCTCGTTCCACAAACGCCCCATTGCTTCACATCACAGGCATAGACACTTGGGGCTGAACAGGGCTTCTTGTGCCCACTCCGGGCTGAGAAACGTGACCATCTAAACCCACAATTTTTGGCGCGCGAAGTCCCGAAACTGAGAGTTCTCTGAGGCAATTTCTGCCCGTCCTCGTGGCCGAAGAGCCGCGGCCGCTCTTGGAAAAGACGTTCCAGTCTTCCTATATATAATCCAGACATGGGAATTGCATTTGTTAGGTCCCTGTAAGTCTCATCAAGGATGTCTGACGAACATCCCCCTCTTCACCCTAAACCCTAAACCCGAAACCCTAAACCCTAAACCGAATGTGGGGCAACATGTCATGTCCTCAGCGGCAGGAGCGGGTTTCGACCATAGGCTTCGAGGTCATCGACTCAGCAGAAGCTTGGCGCAAGAGACCAGCGTGTTGATTTGGCCCGTGACCTCAGCCCTGAGACCCTGGAGCCTGGACCCTCAATGAATCTTCATGAAAAGAAGACACACACACACATATATATATATATATATGCTCACCCCCCCCCCCTACGACAGACCCCGGAAGCGAAAAAAAGGCTACGGACAGCATAGCTGCACACAGCAGCCAGACACGTTAACAAACAATAGATGTATACATATATATATATTTATGTGTGTATATCTATATATGGTACCTCCCCCCCCCCAAAAAAAAAAACACGTCTCCATATGCTCTTCCCTGAAGTCCGACAGATCGGCCTGCCAGTTTGGTCATGGTAGGGTTTTACTAATTCATTAAATATTTACTCAACTTCACAGATTTGTCTACCGTAATTGATTTCAAACACTTCCGTTAACTTCGTTGATTCCAAAAAGCTTAATTCACATAATTTGATCCACTCAGCAATTGCTCGAGCGAGTGCTCAAACAGAAGTGACCTGAACAACTTGCTGGACATGGTGGATTGCTATTAATTTCAATAAGATTGCTGTTAGTTTTACATGGGTTCCTATTAAATTTAATAGGATTCATAGGGTTCGTATGAGTTCAATAGGAATCCCATTTAAATCAATAGGAAACCCATTAAAATGAATGAGAACCCTATTGAAATTGAGACGAGTCTTTTGTGAAAACTTAGTCAGAATCCTAGTACAATCAATAAGAACCTGGTTGAAATACGTAGAAGCTTATTAAATTAACAGGGCTCCTATTAAATTTTCTTGGAGTCCTAAATTCAGAGGAATCATAAGAAGGCCATTGAAATGAATAGGAACCCTTTTGAATTCATAGGAACGCTATTAAAATTAATAGGAACCCTACAAAAGAATCTATGAATTCCTTTAAGGGTAACAGGAATCCGTTTAATATGAAGATGAATCCTATTAAAAGATTAAGAGGAGCCAATAAAATTCTATAAAAAAAGTAACGCGGACGCTTTAAAACTTGAAACAATAAGAGTCGTACTGTTAGAACTATGATGAACCCTATTAAAACTTTTAATAAATAGGATTGCTAATAAAATTAATAAGAGTTACAATAACATTACTTCGAGTCCAAGTGAAATGAATAGGGAACAGGATTTCAAAGCATAATCGGAGCACTGTGGAATCTAGTAGGAATCCTATGAACATTATTAGGAATCCTGTCAACATGAATGAGAAACCCTGCTAAAATGAATACGAAGCCTATTCCAATTAATCAGAAGCCTTTTTACATGAATAGGGAGCTTGTCAAAGCAAACGGAATCCAATTAGAAATTGTACGACATCTTATGAAAATGAACAAGAAGCCTATTGACATTTATAGGAATATGTTTAAAGTTTGTTATGATGCTTATTAAAACTCTTAGGCTAATTTATGAAAACTTTTATTAAAACTAACTAGGAATAAGAATGCTATTAAAATGACTAAGAATCGTATTCAAATTACTTGGCATTTGTGTAAAATGAATAGGAGTCAATCTTAAACCCAATTGCTCGTAAAATGATTAGGAATCTTATTCATTAAATAAGGACCCCCATTAAAGTGAACAGGAGTATTATAAAATTGAATAGGCAGCCTAAATCATAATAAGGAATCATATAAGAACCCCTGAAAAAATCTTATCCAAACTCCAGTTTCCAAAATTCCAAAAATCCAAAAATCCGCCCCAAAGGTTTGGATTTTTGGAAACTCGAACGGGAGCCTCAAAATCCAAAAATCGAGCAAATTCCTCGAGTTTCCAAAATTCCAAAAATCCAAAAAAAAACCACCCCAAGGTTTGGAATTTTGGAAACTCGAGGAATTTGCTCGATTTTTGGATTTTGAGGCTCCCGTTCGAGTTTCCAAAAATCCTAAACTTGGGTTGGAGTTTTTGGGTTTTTGGAATTTTGGAAACTCGAGCGGGAGCCTCCAAATCCAAAAATCGAGCAAATTCCTCGAGTTTCCAAAATTCCAAAAATCCAAAAAAATCACCCCAAGGTTTGGAATTGTGGAAACTCGAGGAATTTGCTCGATTTTTGGATTTTGACGCTCCCGCTCGAGTTTCCAAAAATCCGAAACTTGGGTTGGAATTTTTGGATTTTTGGAATTTTGGAAACTCGAGGAATTTGCTCGATTTTTGGATTTTGAGGCTCCCGCTCGAGTTTCCAAAAATCCGAAACTTGGGTTGGAATTTTTGGATTTTTGGAATTTTGGAAAGTCGAGGAATTTGCTCGATTTTTGGATTTTGAGGCTCCCGCTCGAGTTTCCAAAAATCCGAAACTTGGGTTGGAATTTTTGGATTTTTGGAATTTTGGAAACTCGAACAATTTGCTCGATTTTTGGATTTTGACGCTCCCGCTCGAGTTTCCAAAAATCCGAAACTTGGGTTGGAATTTTTGGATTTTTGGAATTTTGGAAACTCGAGGAATTTTGGAGTGTTGGTCTTCCGCCCCCTTCCTGGACAGACTGGAAATGCAATTCCAGGGTCTGTCGTAGGGGGGGGGGTGACCATATATATATATATATGTACGAAGGACCTTTATGTACTATTTGGCGTGTGGCTTGGCTTCTTCAGGCAGAATTTAGGAATTTAAGGAGGCCTAAATTCCTTAAATTCTTTAAATTCCTAAATTAAATTAAATTGGTTCTGGGCCGTAATTTAAAATTTTATAAATTCCTTAAATTCCTTAAATTCCTAAATTAGGGCTAATTTAGGAATTTAAGGAATTTAAAGAATTTAAAGAGGCCTAAATTCTTTAAATTCCTTAAATTCCTAAATTAGCCCTAATTTACGAATTTAAGGAATTTAAGGAATTTATAAAATTTTAAATTAGGGCCCATAACCAATTTAATTTAATTCAGGAATTTATGGAATTTAAAGAATTTAAAGAGGCCTAAATTCTTTAAATTCCTTAAATTCCTAAATTAGGGCTAATTTAGGAATTTAAGGAATTTAAAGAATTTAAAGAGGCCAAAATTCCTTAAATTCCTTAAATTCCTAAATTAAATTAAATTGGTTCTGGGCCGTAATTTAAAATTTTATAAATTCCTTAAATTCCCTAAATTCCTTAAATTCCTAAATTAGGGCTAATTTAGGAATTTCAGGAATTTAAAGAATTTAAAGAGGCCTAAATTCTTGAAATTCCTTAAATTCCTAAATTAGCCCTAATTTAGGAATTTAAGGAATTTATAAAATTTTAAACTAGGGCCCAGAACCAATTTAATTTAATTTAGGAATTTAAGGAGTTTAAAGAATTTAAAGAGGCCTAAATTCTTTAAGTTCCTTAAATTCATAAATTAGCCCTAATTTAGGAATTTAAGGAATTTAAGGAATTCAAAAAATCAAAAAATTGTAAATTAGGGCCCAGAACCAATGTAATTTAGTTTAGGAATTTAAGGAATTTAAAGAATTTAAAGAGGCCTAAATTCTTTAAATTCCTTAAATTCCTAAATTAGGTCTAATTTAGGAATTTAAGGAATTTAAAGAATTTAAAGAGGCCGAAATTCCTTAAATTCCTAAATTAAATTAAATTGGTTCTGGGCCGTAATTTAAAATTTTATAAATTCCGTAAATTTCTTAAATTCCTTAAATTCCTAAATTAGGGCTAATCTAGGAATTTAAGGAATTTAAAGAATTTAAAGATGCCTAAATTCTGTAAATTCCTTAAATTCCTAAATTAGCCCTAATTTAGGAATTTAAGGAATTTAAGGAATTTATAAAATTTTAAATTAGGGCCCAGAACCAATTTAATTTAATTTAGGAATTTAAGGAATTTAAAGAATTGAAAGAGGCCTAAATTCTTTAAATTCCCTAAATTCCTAGATTAGGGCTAATTTGGGAATTTAAGGAATCTAAAGAATTTAAAGAGGCCGAAATTCCTTAAATTCCTAAATTAAATTAAATTGGTTCTGGGCCGAAATTTAAAATTTTATAAACTCCTTAAATTCCTTAAATTCCTTAAATTCCTAAATTAGGCTAATCTGGGAATTTAAGGAATTTAAAGAATTTAAAGAGGCCTAAATTCTTTAAATTCCTTAAATTCCTAAATTAGCCCTAATTTAGGAATTTAAGGAATTAAAGGAATTTATAAAATATAAGATTAGGGCCCAGAACCAATTTAATTTAATTTAGGAATTTAAAGAATTTAAAGAGGCCTAAATTCTTTAAATTCCTTAAATTCCTAAATTAGCCCTAATTTAGGAATTTAAGGAATTGAAAAAATCTTAAATTAGGGCACAGAACCAATTTAATTTAGTTTAGGGATTTAAGGAATTTAAAGAATTTAAAGAGGCCTAAATTCTTTAAATTCCTTAAATTCCTAAATTAGCCCTAATTTACGAATTTAAGGAATTTAAGGAATTTATAAAATTTAAAATTAGGGCCCAGAACCAATTTAATTTAATTTAGGAATTTAAAGAATTTAAAGAATTTAAAGAGGCCTAAATTCTTTAAATTCCTTAAATTCCTAAATTAGGGCTAATTTGGGAATTTAAGGAATTTAAGGAATTTAAAGAGGCCGAAATTCCTTAAATTCCTTAAATTCCTAAATTAAATTAAAATTGGTTCTGGGCCGTAATTTAAAATTTTATAAATTCCTTAAATTCCTTAAATTCCTTAAATTCCTAAATTAGGGCTAATTTAGGAATTTAAGGAATTTAAAGAATTTAAAGAGGCCTAAATTCTTTAAATTCCTTAAATTCCTAAATTAGCCCTAATTTACGAATTTAAGGAATTTAAGGAATTTATAAAATTTAAAATTAGGGCCCAGAACCAATTTAATTTAATTTAGGAATTTAAAGAATTTAAAGAATTTAAAGAGGCCTAAATTCTTTAAATTCCTTAAATTCCTAAATTAGGGCTAATTTGGGAATTTAAGGAATTTAAGGAATTTAAAGAGGCCGAAATTCCTTAAATTCCTTAAATTCCTAAATTAAATTAAAATTGGTTCTGGGCCGTAATTTAAAATTTTATAAATTCCTTAAATTCCTTAAA